AGAATGTCGGCATGACATGTCTGGAAATCATGGTGAATAATGGTATGAGGCAGAACTACAGAACCACTGCAAGAACTGAGAAATGTATTTTTGAATTGTGACAAGAATATCATATAGGGAGGTACGAAAGGAAAGACAGCCTGGCCAGCATTGTGTACCAAGATGACACGTGCACCACTCTTAACCCTTTGACTGTTTCGGTCGTATATATACGTCTTACGAGCCACCATTTTTGACGTATATATACTCGCAAATCCTAGCGGCTTCAGATCAAGCAGGAGAAAGCTGGTAGGCCCACATGTGAGAAGGGTCTGTCTGGTCAGTGTGCACCATATAAAAAATCATGCAGCAGTGCATAATGAGAAAAAAACCGACCATTTTTTTTAATTAAAATGCCGACTTTGTGGTCTATTTTTGTATAGTATTTATGGTTGTATTCTTGTTTTCTTCGTCTCATTTGATAGAATGGAAAACATAGAAATAGAGGTGATTTTGATTAGTTTTACTATGAAAGGAACCTTGAAATGGAGCTCAAACTAGGGGAAATGTTTGATTTTTGCCGATGTTCAAAAGTAAACAAATGATGTCATTTTCCAATGAATGTCCAAGTAGCCATTCTAATATGCAGTCACAAATGGGTTGACATTATTTATACAATTATTACAATATTGCAGCAGTCTGCATAACAGTAAATCTTCTATTTTTTGTTTGAATAAAAATTCAAAATAGAAAACAAGAGTAATATCAGAGGGGCCTGGAGATGTGACTGATGAACAAAGAAAATGTTATTTTAGAGCCAAATTGCAAATTTCTGACCAAGTATGGTAGTTGAAATTGGTAAATGGGCAGTTTCTTGTACTCAATCGATAGAAAAAATGGAGTTCTAAATAAGTAGCTATGAGTTTGGTCGACTGAAACAATGGAATTAGCCAAAAATAGGGCTCAAAGTGGGCAATATCACCAATTCGTAAATATCGCCGAGGTCGCTAACTTCGCAAGAGCATAATTCCATCAGTTTTCCATCAAATTTTTTTCTTTTGGTGTCATTACAATCGGGAAAAGATTCTCTATCATTTCACAATTTTTTTTTTTTTTTTTTTTTCTGAAATTTTGCGACACCAGGAGACCTTTCAGGATTAGGGGTTGTGACAGTCAAGGGGTTAAGAGCATGAAATGAAATATTTTGACCAGCATGGCGCAGGAGTGTCTTGCTGATACTATGATCAGAAAGACAGTCAGTGGAGGATGTCGGTTGCAGAGTAAAAACCTTAGTCCATTGTGTACTTTGAAATGTAGTATGCAAGGGGAGTGAGTGTCACGCTGGTCTTTTCTGGGAAGAGTGAGAGGTAATTGAAGCAGTATCATCAGTTAATGGTTGTAGTTGTTTAGGTGTGGGACCGGAGGTGGTCCGTCCTGAGATGGGTGGGCGAACTGAAAATTGCCACACTGTAGCAGTAGAAGCCGGAGGCATGTGGAGGTCAGATGTATCAAAGGAATCAGGCAGAACCTCAGTACCTGCCGAAGATACTGGGGCATTAGAAAGGTCTGAAGAATGGTTTGATATTGAAGTAGGGTCATAGGAGGGTGCTGCAGCAGAAAGAGGCCCTGGAGGAGCAGTTTCATGGATCTGGGGCTCCATGGTTAGGTCATTTTTTTTTTTAGTTTTCCAAAAAAAAGAAAAAAGGAAAAAAAGAAAAAGGAGAGGGAGAAACGTGGAGGGATAGCTTCTAGGAGGAATGAAAGGGTTGTAAATCCTCCTCTGCACCCAAGTGGACCTTAATGCAGCCAGTTGTGCAGAAGAAACCCATACCATACCCTGCCCTTCATGCCAGTAAACCAGCAATCCAGGCTAGCAACCTCACATCCATCCTGGAGCCCAACAGGCAATCTCCAGATACACCTGTCACCCAGAAGACACCAGAAGCCTTTTCCCAGGAGACCAGAGAAGGATAGGGACATCTCCAGATTCCACAGCAAACTATACCACCACCAAGGCCTCAATGGAATGGGATGTACAAGGATACCCTTTCCCAAACTAGGAACTAGAATGCCTGAAGGGAGGATTGAAGAAGCCCAAAGGCTGAACATAGGAAAAGGAGGAAAGGGAAAAAATGGTGGGATGGCGTGAGGAGCATTTTGGTTTGGTCTGAGGAAGAAAATTAAAAATTCCTACTCTTTAGATCAAGAGCATCTTCACCACAGCAAAAAACTCAACCCTACCCCCTCTTCCCTGTGAAAAGGTCTAATTTTTATAAATTCATTTAGAAGCAAAGAAAAAATTATATATAATAATGTAGTTATATTAAAAAGCAAGAAATTTTCATGTTTTTATTCTATACTGAATATCTGATATAAACATACATGTCCACTAAATAAATTACATGTTTTGTCATTTAATTTTTTATGATCAACTAATGACTAAACAGTAAAATGATGAATAAGGAAACACAAAGGCTCCTAATACTCGACCAACATTATTGTAATTTACTTTTAGTGCTGTATGACCCACATGGGTTTAGCACTTTATTAACGCTAATGTATTTCTGTATTCTTCAGGACAATCAGTTTAATAATGCAACTCTCAAACAATGCAACAATGGTGAAAAGGAGTGAGTAAGAAGGCAAGACAAAATTTTTAAGTTGAACAAAGAGGAAAAGCTACTTTAAATATATAGTACTATTGTTCTAAAATAGATGAAGATTTAGCCAGGTTCATTTAAGACTGAATTTGTTCATAAATAGAAGATTCACAAACTCTATCATTATTCAAAATGTAATACTGAATCATGTTACATTTCAGAGTTGGCAATCTGTGTACTTCTGCATAAAAAAAATAAAGTTGCAATTAACCAACACTTTGGGTTAAATATATAAAAACCTATTAGTTTTTACTCTAATTGTACTTCATACATTTTATTCACATAAAAAATAATCTACTGACTTAAAAAATGATCAAAAGATCTTAAATGTGGCCACTTCCGTGATGTTTTATATTCAGCACATCTACCATACCTAATAGCCACAACCTGCCTACTTAAACTTATTCGGCAAGAATTATTTTGCCAAACCTGAGCTAATATTTTATTTTTGCTACGTATATAATTGTGAAAGCTGGAGAAGCACAAAATTAATATACAGTGGACCCCCGGTTAACGATTTTAATCCGTGCAAGAGGGCTCATCGTTATGCGAAATAATCGTTATGCGAATGAATTTTCCCCATAAGAAATAATGGAAATAAAATTAATCCGTGCAAGACGCCCAAAAGTATGAAAAAAATTTTTTTTTACCACATGAAATGTTAATTTTAATACACACAAACTGAAAAAGGCATGCACAATTAAATGACACTTACTTTTATTGAAGATCTGGTGATGATTGATGGGATGGGAGGAGGGGAGAGCATTATCTTCTTACTGTTTAGAAGGGGAATCCCCTTCCATTACGACTTGAGGTAGCAAGTCCTTTTCCGGGGTTACTTCCCTTCTTCTTTTAATGCCACTAGGACCAGCTTGAGAGTCACTGGACCTCTGTCGCACAACAAATCTGTCCATAGAGCTCTGTACCTCCCGTTCCTTTACGATTTGTCTAAAATGGGCCACAACATTGTCATTGAAATAGTCACCAGTACGGCTTGCAACAGCTGTGTCAGGGTGATTTTCATCTATAAAGGTTTGCAGTTCAACCCACTGTGCACACATTTCCTTAATCTTTGAAGTAGGCACAATGGATTCCACAACTGGCATAGGCTTCTCAGGGTTAGCCCCAAACCCTTCAAAATCTTTCTTAATTTCCATACTAATTCTCACCCTTTTTACCACAGGGTTGGCACTAGAAGCTTTCTTGGGGCCCATGGTCACTTATTTTCCAGAAACAGCACCGAAAACACTGTAATAATACGAAATATTCCGAGTGTATGCTTGGATGTTACCGCGGAGGCTGGCTGGTAAACAATGGGACGGCCGGCACATGTGAGGCTGGCTGAGGGCACATTGGACGCGTCTCGGACGAAAATCGGTAAGCGGGTTTTTAATCGGTATGCGCGGCAAAAATTTTGCGATAAAAGTAATCGTTATGCGGAAAAATCGCTATGTGATGCCATCGTTATGCGGGGGTCCACTGTATATCGGTGTTGTTAAATAATACGGAAGGTCTGACTTTAAATATGCGAGGCAGGATTTAGGATTACTGTATTACATAAATTCTTGCAAGGTGCAACTGAAATTTTCTTGCAAAATTATACGTTTGCACAACTTATGATTAATATATCCTTCAATCCATAATATAAAAAAGCTGAAACTATTACCAAACAAATATGGCTTTACTGCTTAGGATGAAGAGGTAGACATAATCCTAATATAAATGACAAAAACTTATAAGATTTTGTAAAATAGACTGAAAACTACCTTGAATACCATGGCAAAGCTGAATAAAGAAAGAAAATGAAAGCTTATCTTGCTTTCATCTTCCTATAATTTAAGTTGAAACTAGATGATAGTATGTACATGACAGAGCAGAAAGAAATATTAAAACCATTGTCAAATTATTGTTTCAAAATAACTTGTTAATAATCTCATTAAATCTGTATTAAAGACAAATTTAAAGGTCTATACCAAGAGAGATTAAAAATATACTGAATCCTACGACTTTTTTTATACAATATTGTGCAACATAAAACAGATCAATAAAATTATCCTGTAAGCAAAGTCAGATGTAAACAAAACAAGATCATATACTATTACACTGTTGAAATAAGATGCACAGTGGCAAGGCAAGCAGGTTCCACATTTAAAGCAAGGTTTAATAATGCATCACGGCATTTTCTGAAGATGAGGTTTAACCCTTTGAGGGTCCGTCCCATAGTTCTATGGCTCTGAAGCTCGGGTTCAAGCTGTAGTTCTACACCATGAGCTCAGCTCACTCAGATAAACTGTGAGTGGTAAATTTGGGCCTAGATATGAGAGAATGGATGTGTGTGTTAAGTGTGCACCATATAAAGCAAATCCTGCAGCACACAGTGCATAATGAGAAAAAAAATTCTTACTGTGTTTTTGGATTAAAACTGGCTTTGATGTGTATTTTCGTATGTTTTTTATGATTGTATTTGGGGTTTCTTGGTCTCATTTGATAGAATGGAAAATATATTACAGAAATAGAGATATTTTTGATTGGTTTTAGCATTGAAAATACAGTGGTACCTTGGGATATGAACAGCTCAAAACTCGAACAATTATGTAAGTGTATTTATGTAAGTGTTTTTGTAAATGTATTTTTGGGAGTCTGAAATGGATTAATCTAATTTACATTATTCCTTATGGGAATAAATTTGTTCGGTATCGGCACTCGAACAGCCTTCTGGAACGAATTAAGTTTGAATCCCAAGGTACCACTGTAGCTAGAAATTGAGCTCAAAGTAGCAGAAATGTCTGATTTTTGCCAATTTTCATGGGTAAACAAATTACGTCATGCGTCAAATACACGTCAACTGGCGAGTCTAATATACGTTCATGAATGCGCTAATATTATTTATACAGTTATTACAATATTACATAGCAGTAAATCTTCTATTTTTTGGTGTGAATAAAAATTCCTTATGTGAATAAAAAATCAAAATAGAATTCATGTGTAAAGCCTGGAAAAGTAAGTAATAAACAGAGGAAATGTTATTTTAGTGCCAAAAATGTCTGCAGTGTTTATTCTGGACCCTATTTTGAAACTGGAATATTTTGAACTGTGTGTGAAACTAGCCAATTTACCAATTTCTGATCACTTTATTGGGTAGTTGATATAGTTGATTGGGCGATTTCTTGCGATCAATCAATAAAATAGAAGTGATAGTAGCGAAATAGCTAAGAATTTGGTTGACTAGAATAACGTAATTGGCCTAAAATAGGAGTCAAAGTGGGCAAAATCGCCAATGCATAAACACTGCTGCTGCAATAAAATTCACTACAGCGTAATTTTGTCAGTTTTCCATCAAATTTCGTACTTTTTGTTTTATTACCTTCAGAAAAAGATTCTTTACCATTTCATAAGAAAAAGTAATTTTTTTTTTAAATTCTTGGACTCTTGGACCCTCAAAGGGTTAAAAAATACCTAGGCTGAGGCAACACTGCCACAAATATAGGAAAACCAGTTTCTTCATCTTTAAGCAAATAGCTTAGCCTATAATTTAGATACTGTACAAATAGAAAGCAAAGATTCCTTAGAAAGATTCACATTAATCATGGCAGAGCAGTATCACTCCAAAACAATGCAATGCACTAAAAAATGCCATATAATATATTGTGCAACTTTTATGCAGATCATTTAATAGTTATCAAGCATTATTCAAAGAAAATGACCCTTAAATATAAATAATGGCCTTTGAGTAACAAAAATCTTCCAAAAGAATACAGTAAATACATAAGGTTGACATATCTGTAGAATAAAAAACATTAACCCTTTGAGGATCGAGAGGTCCTGTCCCAAACTTGTTCTCAGGGTCAAAAAAATTTTGAAAAACTTAAAAAAAAATTATTGCTTCTTATGAAATGATAGAGAATCTTTTTTCTGAACATAATGAAAAAAAATATGAAATTTGATGGAAAACTTACACAATTACGTTCTCGTGAAGTTAGCGGTCACGATGATATTTCCGCATCGGTGAATTCGCCCACTTTGAGCACTATTTTTGGCCAATTCCAATGTTCCAGCTGACTAATATCATAGCTATTTCCCTAGAACTCCATTTATTCTATTGATTGAGTCCAAGAATCTGCCCATTTACTGATTTCAACTACCCAATAGTGGTCAGAAATTGGCAATTTCACACAAATTTCAAAAGATGCCAATTTCAAAATAGGGTCCAGAATTAACAAGACAGACATTTATGGCACTAAAATAACATTTTATCTGTTCATTTGTCACATCTTTAGGCCCTTCTTACAATACTTTTGCTTCCCATTTTGAATTTTTATTCTCACAGAAAACAGAAGGTTTTCTGTTATGTATACTACTGCATCATTGTGAAAACAGTATAAATGATGTCAGCACACTTGTGAAAGAATATTAGACTCACCAGTTGACGTGTATTGGACGCGTGGCATGATTTGTTTACTCTTGAACATTGGCAAAAATCAATCATTTTCATTACTTTGAGCTCAATTTCAAGGTACTTGTCATTGTGAAACCAATCAAAATCACCACTATTTCTGTAATATATCTTCCATTCTATCAAATGGGAGCAAGGAAGCAAGAATACAACCATAAATATCATACGAAAATACACTACAAAGTCGATGTTTTAAATAAAAAACATGGTCGGAGTTTTTTTTTTTCTCATTATCACTGCGTGCTTCAGGATTTTTTTATACTGCACACACTGACCACATAGACCCATTCTTTCATATGTAGGCCTGCCAGCTTTCTTCCACCAGATTTGAAGGCAATAGAATTTAGGTGTACAAGTACGTGACCGACCGTGGCTGCAATGACGTACTTGTACGTGACCGACCCTCAAAGGGTTAATTTGTTGAGACCTTTTAGAGATACTAAAAATAATGTTTAAAAATCCTTTAAAGTGGGAGAAAAGTGGTAGCCGACTATTTTAAGGCTGCATCAACATACAAGCAATCCAGCAGGCTATCAAATATTAAGGCACAAGTTCTGAATGTGAAGCAAAAGTGGTTTAACTACAAAACAGATACACGAAAGAAAAAAAAAAAAAAAATATATTAAATAAATTTCATACTGTGGGAACAACTATTTCCAACTGTACAATACACTTAAAATTGAAATGCACACTGTGTTCATATTTGAAGTAAAGACCATGGCATCATCCACACTGAATAAGAGAACATTAAAAAATATACAGACCAAACCAATACAACATCTTCCAAGAGAATACCTAATCACTAGAAATTTATTTACTTTTTATGCATCATACGCCACTCAGTTTCACCTCTTTACATATACTGTACTTTAGCTTACAATAATCCAAAGTAAACAAAAATATTCTTGTGCCTGTTATTGTATAGAAACACCAAAAGAAATTGGTCCCATCTTGCACTAATTTCCTTCCAGTGGTATTAAAATTTGGCTACATTATAACCAGGTGTTAATTCTTCTCCTCTACTGTGAAAGGCAGACTTACATATGGTATCTTATCACCAGGTTTATTTTTTCTTTTTTTGAACATTACTCAGTGGTTACAAATCATTTGCATCCACATGCTTGAAGTCTGCACATGCCACCTTGCTTTTAAGGAGAGATATGATGTACAACATATTTTCTATATACAGACTTTCCTTGTCTTACAAAGAAAGTATAATTCTCTCTGAGCTTGGTGCATTCTCAGAAGAAATAGATGCCACATTTTTTTGACTGCCTGAAGAAACAAATCCTCTGTACTTTTCTGCAACATAATGAAACACATTACAAGAAAAATAAATGTAGCTTTGATTATTAGGCTAAATTATCTCAATAAAAAGACATAATAAACATTAATATATATTCATGCCTGAATACACATTCTTTAAAACATGTTATCTTCTAAGTTGTTTTTAACAGTCCCTCCTCTGCTTATTCTTTTAAAACACAATGAGATTTTCCACAGTTATTCAAAATAACTACTACCTAACTTAATGCTGTACAGGGGCAATGCCACAATTTCTACACTAGGAAAGCTTAGGGGTGGCTATCTGGTTGGATGGAAAGGACTGGGAGATTTGTTTTGAAATAGCATTATTATCATTACTGCATTTTTTTTATTAGTCTGGCTTTGGGGTTGAGGGAATTTATGAGGGAGCTGAGGCTCCTTGGCACTGCCACTGATGCTGTAATATGCTTCTCATTTATCTAAGCTTCATGCTGTTATAAATATTTTTATCAATTCTGTGTATTTTTTGCACCTCATCCCCACTATAAACAATCTTTCCTTAAGATGCCCTTGCACTGTACAATACCTCTACAGATTTCAACAACCTTATTATTAAAGACTTTAAATGTAAACTTGAGGCATCTGAAATGATCCACATCTAGTTCTTCTATCATATTGTGAAGTAAGTTTTTGGTTGCATGAAATTAACAAAACTGAAAGGAAAAATGACAAATTACATAGTAGAGGAAAAAATACCAGACCATAAAATGAATCTGCAGTGAGAAAGCCATTAAAACAATCATCATAAGAGTTAAAACTGGCTCAGCTTTCGTCTAATCCTTCATTTTCCTTATACAGTGGACCCTTAACCAGTGATGGCATCGATTAACGATAAATCTGACTAGCGATACATTTTAACGCAAAAATTTTGCCTCAACTAGCGCTTAAAAACCCAACCAGCGCTATTCGGTCCGTACGAGACGCGTCCACTTTGGCCTGAGCACACTTCACTTGTCCCTTGGGTGCCAGTGTTTACAAGCCAGCCAGCCACCGCAGTCGCTTCCAAACATACACCCCTCATGGAAGGTTCCTTGAAGTTGGTGAGGGGCTCTTGATTTAGGGAATTGGAACTGTGCTCCAGTTCCCCGAATTAAGCCTGAATGCCTTCCACATCCCCCCCCCGGGCGCTGTATAATCCTACGGGTTTAGCGCTTCCCCTTTGATTATAATAATAATAATAATTCCAAACATACAACAACTGGAACATTTCATATTATCACAGCCTTTGTAGTGATTGCACCTGCAAAATAAGTCACCATGGACCCCAAGAAAGCTTCTAGTGCCAACCCTACAGCAAAAAGGGTGAGAATTACTATGGAGATAAAGAAAGAGATCATTGCTAAGTATGAAAGTGGAGTGCGTGTCTCTGAGCTGGTCAGGTTGTATAATAAACCCCAATCAACCATCGCTACTATTGTGGGTAAGAAAACGGCAATCAAGGAAGCTGTTCTTGCCAAAGGTGCAGCTGCTGCTGCACCACAGTCAGCTGTTGTTGTTGCTGCACCACCATCAGCTGTATTACTCGAAGATGTGGAGAGAGTGTTGTTGGTGTGGCTTAACGTGAAACAATTACCGGGAAACGATTAACCCTGGAGGGTTAGCCACCCAGGATAACCCAAGAAAGTCAGTGCATCATCAAGGACTGTCTATCTTATTTCCATTGGGGGTTCTTAATCTTGTCCCCCAGGATGCAACCCACAACAGTTGACTAACACCCAGGTGAACAGGAAAAAATGCCTGGAACTAGTGCTCATATTGGTGAGGTTAGTGGGGAGGATGTGGAAGAGTTGGTGGAGGAGGACAATGAAGAACAAACCACTGATGAGCTGCTAGATCATCTTCAACAGTAAGAGGCCACACCTGAGGAAACTGCTTCGGAGGAGGGGAGAAAGAAATTGAAGAAGTTGCCAGCTTCAAAGATTAAGGAAATGTGTGCAATGTGGCTTAAAGTGCAAACCTTTTTTGATGAAAATCACCCTCACACAGCTATTGCAAGCTGTGCTGGTGACTATTACACTGACAATGTTGTGAAACACTTTAGGATAAAGGAATGAGAGGTACAGGCCTCTATGGACAGATATGTTGTGCGACAGAAGTCCAGTGACTCTGAAGCTGGTCCTAGTGGCATTAAAAGAACAAGGGAAGTAACCCCAGAAAAAGACTTGCTACCTCAAGTGCTAATGGAAGGGGATTTCCCTTCTAAACACTAACAAGATCAATGGTCTCCCCTCCTCCCATCCCATCAATCATCACCAGATCTTCAATAAAGGTAAGTGTCATGTAACTGTGCATGTAATCTTCAGTTTGTGTGTATTAAAATTAATATTTCATGTGGTAAAAAATTTTTTTTTCAATACTTTGGGGTGTCTTGAACGGATTAATTTGATTTCCATTATTTCTTATGGGGAAAATGAACTTGACTAACGATTATTTCGATTAACGATGAGCTCTCAGGAACAGATTAATATCGCTGGTTGAGGGTCCACTGTATAATCTTCAATGCCATCTTTAACAACAATTATGCTACTAAATGATAAGCTGGATATAGCTGGAGATGCATTCATAGAAAGAACTTTTAACATACAGGCCTATCTTGAAATACTATGTTCAAAGGTGGAACCAGAAAATTCTTATGTAATGGAGGTCAGCTTTTAATTAGACATGCTAACCACCAGCTATACATTATCATCTAGTGAAGACTTCAACCTTCAAAATATACTGGCTCACACATTAACATGCTCATAAAGACTGAAGCAGTAATTAGGAGCATATATGCATGCTTCAGCACTGCCATGATACTGGAAAGGACTCGAAGTCTATCCCTAATGTCTGTTTGTCACATATCTAAAGACATGGTAACAGACTTCATATTTGCTATCTGACTAATTATTTTACATGATGGCAGGATTGCTGGTGTCTTTTTTTCTGTCTCATAAACATGCACGATTTCAGGCAAGTCTTGCTACTTCTACTTACACTTAGGTCACAATACACATACATGTACATGCATATACATACACACCTCTCTGGGTTTTCCTCTATTTTCTTTCTAGTTCTTATTCTTGTTATTTCCTCTTATCTCCATGGGGAAGTGGAACAGAATTTATTTATTTATTTAGAAATTTTAGCATACAAACAGCATGCCAAAGCCACTTATATGCATAGCATTACGGGCTGGCTTAAAATTAACTTAAGATTAACTAAGCAATGATGAAATCAGTGATAAGACATTATTGTAAACAGATAACTATAAAATACAAATGAGTATTACAAAGACAGGTCCTATGGTTGCATGCATTGCTGTTCATTCATTAGAATGGAGTATTCTGTTAGGTAGTGTATTTAAAAAAATAACAAAGTTAGGTTTAACATTTGTGTGATATAATTGTGAGTAACATTTAGGATATACAATTTGTATGGTTCAGTTATTCAGTATTTATTTGGTTTTGAGTGAGTAAGTGAACTTTGAGAAGAGACTTGAATTTATAAACAGGTAGTGTTTCTTTTATATTTAAAGGTAATGAATTCCAGATTTTAGGGCCTTTTATGTGCATTGAGTTTTTGCATAGCGTGAGATGGACACGAGGAACATCAAAGAGTGATCTGTGCCTTGTATTATGGTCATGTGTTCTGTTGAGGTTGGCAAGGAGATGTTTAAGGGGAGGGTTAATATCAGAGTTAAGTGTTCTATGTAATAAGTGCAATAATAAGTATGGATGTTTTGTATGGCGAGTAGGTTGAGTGTTTTGAATATTGGTGGAGTGTGCTGCCTGTAGTGAGAATTTGTTATCATTCTAACTGCAGCTTTTTGTTGGGTAATTAGTGGTCTGAGATGGTTAGTTGTTGTTGAGCCCCATGCACAAATTCCATAGGTGAGATAGGGGTAAATAAGAGAGTGATAAAGGGCCAGGAGGGCTGACTGTGGAACATAGTACCGTATCTTCGATAGTATGCCTACAGTCTTGGAAATTTTCTTAGAAATTTGTTGTATATGTGTATGAAATTTGAGTCTATTATCGAGGTGGATTCCTAAGAATTTTCCCTCTGTTAGCTTTGTGATAGGTGATCCGTTTATCGTTATGTTAAGAGGTACATCTGTAGCTCTGCTACCAAACTGCTTCCTCTGTAAGCCATGCGTGTCGTAAGAAGCGACTAAAATGCTGAGAGCAAGGGGCTAGTAACCCCTTCTCCAGTATATATTACTAAATGTAAAAGGAGAAACTTTAGTTTTTCCTTTTGGGCCACCCTGCCTCTGTGGGATATGGTCGGTGTGTTGAAAGAAAGATATACACACCCCTCTGGGTTTTCTTCTATTTTCTTACTAGCTCTTGCTCTTGTTCATCTCCTCCTATTTCCATGGGGAAGTGGAACAGAATACTTCCTCCATAAGCCATGCATGTCGTAAGAGGCAACTAACATGCCAGGAGAAAACGGCTAGTAACCTCTTCTCCTGTATACATTACTAAAGTTAAAAAGAGAAACCTTTGTTTTTCTTTTTTGGGCCACCCTGCGTTGGTAGGATACTGTCGGTTTGTTGAAAGAAGAAAGATGATGATTTGCTATCTGAATCACCAATACAATTCAGTTTTCAAGCAGTCCTTACCCTATATGGCAGATACTTTAATATTCCTACTACATTATCAACTCTGCTTCCACAGAATCATTTCCTTCAAGAGTAATCATTAACCATTTTAGAACAGTTATTGTGCCCTAACTGCTAATCCTGTGCCATGTAACGTATCTTCAATCTGGATTTTGTTTGCCTGATATGTTGGTGAAATTTCATGCTGTGTCTAGAGGCAACCATTATGTATAAACAGAGTTTCACATGTTGTGGACATCAACATATCTTAGTAGAGGTCCATGTCTTGTTGTTATTAACATTCACTCAAACCACTAACATATCAACTTCTTACATGGTTCTCTAAATCCTTTCTGTCCTGCTTCTTACATATTTTAACATCTGTGTCAAACTG